CTGAAAGTATGTCCTTCAATTGCTTTAATACTTTGTGGTCTGAAATGGCTTGAAGAAAAATTCCGGATTAGATTCCAGCAGAAACTCTTAATACAGCCAATTACTTAATAAAAGCAGTAACAAAGAAGAAATTATGTCAGAGATTTTAGGCTGATGTTCTGTTTACCGTCAATTCTTTGAGAAATAAGAGCTTAATGCAAGATTGATTTCATTATACTGACCAAGCTTTTTCAAAAAACCACAAGTAGTTAAAAGCATTTGGGAAATAGAATTGTGCTGTATTTAAATGTGCCAGTTATATGCTCAAAGGCCTACATAAAAAATTAAATTTTCAGTTTAAATGACAGTCTGTCCAGTTTCTAGATTTGTTTTTTAGTGTCTGACCAATATTATACTTTTTTAGTCTGAGAGGTAATAATAATTCATAATGCTCAGAGCAATTGGAAACAGAAACCAGTCCCTTTTAATTGTTTCCTTCCGTTGTATTTAATTCAGCTTCTCTGGATACATTAAGATTCTTGGATGATGGGTTTGTTTTCTGCTTGTTGTCTTAATAATAAAAGCTGGGCCCTACAGGAAGATGTAGAAAAATAGGGTATTCCAAGTTATTTTTGAGAACCAACCAAACTTGTAGGTGACCTTTTTTAACTGGCCCTTTTTTCCGATGTTTATATTCAAAATTCAACATTCTATGGATGCTACTAATATTTAAAGTGAAATTTTTAGTTTATACAACTATAATGTTTAAGGGAAGATGACTTTCTCTTGTTTTAGTTTCATTTACCATTTTCAGCACAACTTTTTCCTGTTTTTCTTGCTCACATGTTGGGGTGAGGGAATATACTTATAAAACTATGAAAAATATCTCTAGATTTTGGAGGTGAGCACTCCTCCTGGTTTTTAAATTAAGTGAAGAGTTCTGTCTTCAACCCCAGTTTTTCTATAGGTCTATTTTCCAGCTCATCTAGACTGTTTCGATACCTTGCAATTTCTTTCTTCATATATTCTGAGCACATCTTCCTTCTTCATCCGCAGGGTCAAACCTCAGATGTAGGTTCTGATGATCTCATACACATCACCGCAGCATCCTATTTTCTGATTTTGATGAATGCATTCTGGCCTGTTGATGTCCATCCTGACTCTTGCAAAGATCACTATTCAAATGCATTGCTTTAACAGTATTGCACTGTTTGCTTTTCCTTTCTCTGTGCTCTCTCATTTCCAATATAAGCTATTGTTCTCACTTTGAAGGCTGTGTACCCTTCCATCTCTCTTTCAGTACTGAGATCTCATCTGTGCTTCGGTGATGCTGGTGTTCAGGCTCAAACTCTTAAATTTTCAAATAAACATTGCTGTTGTTCCTCTGAAATGTGTGGAGCAACCTGGGAGAGAAAAAAGACATTGTAAGCTCTGTGAGGCAAGGTACTATCAAACTTTATTTTATTTGTAGAGTGACTGGTGACTGACTTTAATGGACTCTTGGTCTATGGTAAATAGAGTATATTCTGCAATAATACCAATTCAACAGGTACTTACTGAAACTATATCCAGCATTAAGTCACTAGATTGGAAACACGTGTGTTAGAAACTGTTAATCAGATTCAGCAATGCTTCAGCATTCCTCCTTACTTTAATAAGGAATGTCATATCTATCCTTGTAGTCCTGAGACTTAAAAATTTGCTAATGCTCTTCAGTAGCTTTAACTAGTATGGGTTTTTTTTTTTCTTTATAGTTTGGCTCAATGCATGCATGTGTGTCTGAGCAGATCTGTGTTTAACTTAATTGTGACAGTGCCAATGTACATCTTTCTCCTCCCCTTCCCACATCACTTGGCCATCCTGGGGAAGGATAGAAAATATTTCAGCCAAGGGGTGAAAACCAGGACCGGGTTTTCTCCCTCAGTAGATTGTGTAGCAAAGGAAACATGGTTGTTCATATTTGATTTTTATAACTAGCTTGCCACAGATGACTGTGTCCTGGTTTTGGCTGGGCTAGAGTTAATTTTCTTCCTAGTAGCTGGTACAGTGCTGTGTTTTGGATTTAGGATGAGAATAATGTTGATAACACACCGATGTTTTAGTTGTCGCTAGGCAGTGCTTACACTAGTCAAGGACGTTTCAGCTTCCCATGCTCTACCGACCGAGAAGGCTGGAGGTGCACAAGAAGCTGGGAGGGGGCACAGCCAGGACAGCTGACCCCAACTGGCCAGAGGGATATTCCATACCATGGGACGTCATGCTCAGTACAGAAACTGGGGGGAGTTCGCCAGCGGGGGTGACCGCTGCTCGGGAACTGGCTGGGCATTGGTCGGTGGGTGGTGAGCAATTGCATTGTGCATCACTTGTTTTGTATATTCTTTTAACATTATTTTCCCTTCCTTTTCTGTCCTATTAAACTGTCTTTATTTCAACCCACGAATTTCACTTTTTTTTTCTCGATTCTCTCCCCCATCCCACTGGGGGGGGAGTGAGTGGATGGCTGTGTGGCATTTAGCTGCCTGCTGGGTTAAACCACAACACTGTGACAAGAAAAAGCCCCTTTCCC